AATGATGTCTATACACTACCAGATATAGGAAACGAAACAAACAGACGTTTTATTTAAGTAAAATAAATCACTTTATGCATGTTTTAGGAAACGAAATAAAATGAAAAGAAAAATTATTTTGACTACTAAATCATTTTTAATATCTAGTAGATGAAATGAACTCAATAGAATTGAAAAAAATCGTTTTGACTTTAGAAAAGTTTCTTAAAGTAACAGATCATTACTATAACCAATAATACACATGAAAAAAATCTGCAGCGATGGATGAATAGTCAATCAATCTGTTTTCTACATGCTCAAATCAATGAAACGTTAAAAAAACGAAAATTCTTTTGGTAATAGAATCATTCTTTAGAGAAACAAATAACTGCTAGTACATGATATGTACAAAACAATAAAAGTTTATACTCGTAAATATTGATTAAACTCCTTTTCATACACAATCAAATTATTGTAAACAATAGAATAAGAAAATTGTTTTATGATTTTTAAAAGTACGTTGAAAAAACAAGAATTGTTTATCTGATTAGATATACGAAAAAATTTAACTTATTTAGATCTCTCTTCTATTCATTTATAAGAACTAAATCATGTAAAAATAAAATGTTTTATAGAACAGGAAAGTACTCTAAAATGAAGGAATATCTACCGGTTCATTATATATATACAATAGATTTGCCCTATTGATTTATATTTAACCGAGACTTTGTAACATATATGTGAATGAATCACTTCAAGGGAAAAGAAAAGTCCGCTGGAAAAAGGAAATGTCCGTTAGTCGCGTATACATGTTTTTCTTTCCTTTCGTTACTGATATGTATATATGACATTTCATAAGGTATGAAAGGTCCCATATAAGCTAGTGGGACTTTTAGTAAAGTGGACAATTTTTGGACTTTTGACACTGCTGTAATTTCTTACTTTCATTGAAAGTTTTGATTTACTATTGAGATTAAGTGATGCTTCTTTAACTGGTTGAATATAAAGAAGAATTGTCGAAATAATCTTAAAAAGAAAACAAAGAGATTTTACTAAGAGAAAAGAAATTCATCGAAATACTTGTTTTCCCGTTCATAATTGTTTTGGTTTCCAGATACATGGTGGTAATAAAAGAATTTTTCGACGAGAATGTGATCCAATAGCATTGTAAACAAGTTGTTGATAATCGGATCTAACAGAAAACAAATTCCTTACTAGTTTTTGTTCTTGAATTCAATAATAAAAGATATACTTTTCAAAAAATCGATCACGCATTGTTAATGCTGTGCCAGCAACGATATGATCTTGAATAAGACCCGTTAATGGTGTTCCATCTTTGCTTAC